TGGAGAGCGGGTGGGGCAGGGAGTGGGAGGGACTGCGAGGGGAAGGGCAGCATCCCAGCTACCACTGACCAGGGCACAGATAGCAGCCCCTCTCTCTGCGGATCGGTCCCTCCCTCAGTGAAAACTGCCCTTCCAGCCCTGCGGGGCTGCGGAAACCCAGCCTAATTGGATCCAGGACCCTCGGGAGCCTCGGTCCCCACAGGAAGTTCCCAGGCACGAGCTCCCTAGGCTGGCCTGGCTCTTGGAGGCAGGGTGGGGCCCAGCAGCTGGGGCTCAGCACTCTGGGCTGCATGGAGTGGGGACACATGGAGGGCAGAGGGGTCGTGAGAGGCCAACTTGGAGCGCATGGGGGTCTCAAGCTGAGAAGATGGCAAACTTCAGCTTCTCTCTCCTCGACCATCTCCTGCTTGTCCCTCCCAGGCCATCCTTCTGGCCCCATAATAACCTGTCCACTGAAAACCCCGACCATGGCCTTCCCCTGCTCAGAGACGTTCCATGGCTCCCCATGGCCCTTTATCCAAGCACTTCAGCCTGGAACTGTAGCCCTTTATGAACAGCCCCAGACACCTTTCCCTTCTTCCTCTGCAAATTCCTGCACCATACCCACGCCAGACCAAACGTGATGCTTTGTGCATTCCTGCCTCTGGGCCTTTGCATGTGTACTTCTTACTCCTTGGCCTGCCCTTCCCTGGCTTCTCTTGACCTCTCTGCTTTCCTCCTTTAGTAAGTCCCACCTTCATGAGATCTTCGTGCATCCCTCAATGGGATGAACGCATCTTTCCAGGAGCGCCCCCACCCCATAGCTCACCTGAGCCCCAGCATCAGCTTATTGCCACACTGGGGCAGGGAGCAGGTTTCAGAACGCTTAGCTACCCTGGGAAGCTAGCCACTTTTCCATGTCTTTGCGCACACCGCCCCTCTGCTTGGAATGCTCTTCCTCTACCCTCTGGCTCTCTTGGCAAAGCCCTCAGTCTTCAGAGCCCACGTGGACAGACCCCTCCTCTCTCAGGCACAGCCCTTCTCTCTTAGTGAAAGTTTATTGAGCACCTAGCATGAACTAGGCACCTGAGCACTTACTGTGTGGCCAGCACTTGGCTCTGGGGCTGCATTGGTGGCCCTGTCCTTTCGAGTCACGACTGGAGGGAGTTTCCAGAGGCTTGATAGAGAGATGGCAGAGAATGCAGGGGGGCTGTGGGTATGGATAACAGGGTAATCTACTTTCTGCTAGGGAGAGTTTGAAAGTGACCTTTAGCTGAGACCTGAAAGAAGAGCCAGGTGAGCTGTGGGGCCAAGTTGGGGTGTGGGGTTGTGACTAAGAACCAGACCCAAGCTCTGATCTCAGGGAGCTCACAGCTACGCCAGGGACTGGGTGGACAAGGAACCAGGCAATTCTAGCTTAGTGGGATCAGTGCTGTGGTGGAGGAGGCCCAGGAGGCTATGGGAGCTCAGGGGAGAGGCTGCAAATAGAGCTGTGGGGGGGGGGGCTGGTGAGCAGGAAGGCTTCCCTAGGGCTGTGACGCCTGAGCTGACTGGTGGTTGATGGGCACCTGGCAGGGCTTTCGCTGGATGATGGAAGGACACAGGCTGTGCAAAGGCACGGTGGCATGAAAGAGCAACTTGTTTTGGGGGAACTGCAGGTGGTGTTGTGGGGCTGGAAGGAGGGAGGCCATGGGGATGTACCTGTTGGGATGCATATGGCCTGCAGAGCCTCACTGGCAAAGGCCTCTGTGCTGGGGATTTTGAACCATACCTCAGAAGTGATGGGAACCCGAGAGAGATTTCAAGCAGGAGTGAGTGACCTGGGCAGGCTTTGGCCTGGGCCTCCCCTCCGAAGCCTCCACCCAGGACGGGGAGCCCCTTCCTGACTCTGTGTTCCTGACTGGGGTCTGGGGTGTGGCTGGAGGCTCACTGTGGGACCTTGAGCAAGCCCCTGGCCCTCTCCTAGCCCTTCTCTCCTCCTGGGTAAACCCGCAGGGCCTGAGGCCAGAATCCTAATGGAGCTGTGGGCAGGGGTTGGGCTGTGTTGCTTAGCCTAAGCTTGCTGAACCTATAGTTTCATTAATATTCCTTTAAAAAAGTCACGTAACTACCCTGCAGAAAAGTCAGAATAGGGAAATGAGGGAAGTCCAAACCTGCCATTTCTGCTCTCACCCCAAGCCGGAAGCACCCCTCCTCTCAGTACCTGGTTTTTATATGGATATCATTGCTCCGTCCGTCCGTACAATTTAGAAAATCTGCTCCCCTACCCCATCCCCCTGACAAATGTATCACGAGTGCTGCATGAGTGCAGTGGGGTTCCAGTCCTTTCTAACAGATCCAGTGTTAGGGTGGAAAGCGTGGGCTTTGGAGCCTGACTTTCTGGGTTCAAACCATACACGCTTGACTTTGGGCAAGTTACCTAATCTCTCGGTGCCTCAGTTCCTTGTAAGGTTGATATGAGAGTTAAATGAGTCATTACAGTGCCGGTAAACACTGGCCGTTATTAATGGTTGTAGACTATGTCACTGTGTAACATGATTTACAGAGCCATCCTCCCATTGTTTAAAATTTTGGCTGTTTTCAGTTTTTCAATATGGTTAAAAAAAAAAAAAAAGACACACTGAAGCAAACAGCTTTGTACATAAACCTTTGTCTATATTTGGGTTATTTTCTAGGGACAGATGACCAAGAATGGGATCACTAGGCCAGGAAGTCTGAACATTTTTTTGAGCTCTTGTCACGTTATTGCCAGACTGTTTTTAGAAATGTTCCAATTTGCACTCCCACCAATAATGCATAGAAGTGCCAATTTCATCATACCCTCACCAGCATAGCGTATTATCATTTTCTTATTTCTCTTTGCTATTTTAAGAGGTGAACCTCATTTCATTTTCACTGCCAGGGAAGCAGACCTATTCTCTGTTTATTAGCTGTTAACATCCTTTTTGGTCTGCTAGCCTTTACAGAGCACACATAGCCCCTTCTCAGACCAATTAGGAAGATAGGGCTTAGATATAGGAAACAGGGAACAGAGTAACAATGGGGACGATTTAGTGCCAGGGTAGGGGAGGGGACTTCCCTCTATCTAGGCCATAACACTCAGTTGCCTCCACATTGCACATCCATCCATTCATTCATTCATTCAAACACTTATCAGGTACTCTTAGGGCTTAAAAGGTAAATTACCCAGCCATGATTCTGCCCTGACAGAGAGCATGCCCAACAGCAGAGATGGACAAGAACACAGACAGAAAATACAGGGATGTGTGCTCTGATGATAGATGTGTAGGGCACAAAGGGAACAGAGGAGAGGCTCCAACACAGCCCAGGAGGTGATAGAGGTAGAGCAGTTTTGGAAGGCTTTCAGGAGGAAGTGGTCCATAAGCTGGAGCTTGAGGATAATCTGGAGTTAGCTAGTGAAGTGGGGAGGTCAGACGGTTCCAGGGAGAGGGGGCAGCCTGACTGATGGTGAGGAAGTAAGAAGGGAAGTGGAGCACTAGGGGATCTCTGTCTGGCTGGGCAGAGTATAAGGTGGCCATCGAGGCCACAGAGTCAGCAGGGACCAGACATACAAGGCCCCAGGAATCCAGACCTTGTCTGGAGGGAAGTAGGGAGCTATGGAAGGTTCTAAGGAGGTGAATATTGTGATTTGCTTTTGTCTTTTAGAAATCTCACAGCGACTGCAGAAGGAGAGTGGAATGGGGGGTGTGGGTAGAGGTGGGGAAACCAGTGAAGGGATTCTTGCAATAGCCGAAGAGCCTGGACCCGGGCAGAGAAGGTGGTGGAGACCTTCTTTCCCTACCCTGCAGAATCCTAAAAGCAGCCTCACAGTGCACAGCGAATGTTACCTCTGCCGGGCAGCCTTTGCTGACATCCACCGCTGCCAATCAGGTCATTGCCTTCCTGGAGGACGGGGCGGTGCAGGGCCTGGCATGCAGTGGTCAGTTGAGTGCCTACCACCAGCTGACCCTGATCCCACCCCTGCCCCTCCGTGCCTCCAGACTCTCTATCTCTTCCCCCTCTGCCTTGAGCTGCCAACAGTTTTCTGTCTTTTCTTTGAGAGTAAATTTATTGTTTTCATTATAAAAGCAACTGAACGGCATTACGGAGAATCTGGAAATCAGAGAAACAAAGACAAAAACCAGATCAGCTCCAGCCACCTCTCCCAGCCCTCCCTCTGGGTGTGGTTCCCTGCAGCTTGCTTTTTCTGACGCAGGTTTTTATTTTTGCCTCCTTGTAATCATAGTGTCCGGACCATTTTGGGTCCTGCTCTCTCCCATTTGCTTTGTTGGGAGCTCGTTCCTCTGTGGCCATGGGGTCTGGGCAGATCTCAGTTTTTGATGCCTGTGGGATGGTTTGGGGATGGGGGTGGGACAGGGTTGTTTAACCGCACCCTGCTGTCCTGCAGTGGGCAAGGCTAGTCACATGCCACCCTGGGCTGCCTGTCTGCATTGTGTCTGTTTGTCTGTACCTGGACCACCCCAGCCACCTGGTGTACCCCTTCTTCAGTGCCCCTTTATGGAGCTTACAAGGCTGGCCTCAGGGGCCACCTTCCTGGGAAACGGTCGTGGACAGATCTGGTTTTAAATCTAGACTTGGCTCTGCGACCTCAGGCAAGTTACTTAACCTCTCTGGACTTCAGTTTCCTCATCTGTATCATGGGTCTATTGCCCCAGTAAAATAATGGCTGTAAAAATGCCCTGACACAGTTCCTGGCCCACTGTAAGTGCTCAAGAAAAGGTAGTCAATATTATTGTGTTTTTTCATTCTACAAAGAGTTTCTGAGACCACTCTGGGCTAGGTGCTGGAATGGCAAAGATGAATGAGCACTAGTTATACCTGTGAAGAGCTCGTGGTCTGGCAGGGAAGTCACCCAGGGAAACATATAAGCATACCAATCGGCGCTGGAGTGCTGGACCAGACCTGGGTGGTGTCCTAACTCCATTACTTGCTAGCTGTGTGACTTTGGGGAGGTTGGTCAACCTCTCTGAGCTGCAGTTTCCTCTTCTGTTAAATGCACATCTCACAGGATCATTGGGAAGATTCAGTGCCATGATGCATATGATACACTCAGCACAGTGCCTGGCACGTAGTAGGTGTTGAAATCAATAGTAGCTGCCATTTTATTATTATTGTTATTGTTATTGTTATTCCCATATACAAGGTGCTGTTGGGAACACAGAGGAAGTGACTGACTGGGGGTTCAGGGAAAGCTCCGTAGAAGAGGGAACACTTGAGCTGGGTCTTGAAGGATGAGTAGAAGTTCACCAAGTGGGAAAGGACACTCTAGGTAAGGAACCTGTGACTCCAGGTTGAAATCTGTCAATGAGGGGTTTGTTCTTTGCGGGGGGATTAAGGAATTGTTTCATCCCAACTTCAAGTGCCCTCACTGCCTCCCCCTGGATCTCCCCTGGGGGCCGTGTGCACTCCCCTTCCTGTAACAGCACCCACCTGTCTTGGCAGCTGTGGGTTCCTGCTCTGTGTCCCCGTCTGTCCATGTGTGGGACCACAGGTCTGTGTCTGTCATGTGTGTCCGAGTTTGGTGCTGTCTGCATGTTCCTGTGACCATGTTTGTCTGCGTGGGTGTCCGGAGGGCCTCCCGGGCCACGTGGTGGGGGGCGACCTGCATCCTTCCTTGGCCTCCCGCTCCAACCAAATAGCCAGGCCTCCTCGGTCACTCTCCTCCCTGGCCCGGCTCGGCCCATGCCTCTCACTTCCATTCCATTCTCCAGGGGCCTCCCGACGGGTGTCCTCCTGCTGCCCCTCTCCTGGCCTCTCCAGTCCCTTCCGCACGCAGCAGTCAGAGGGGTCTCTCTAGACCACAGATTCTGCCCCATCACCCACTGCTTCGAGTCCAGACTCCAGACCTAGGATTCAGGAATCGACCTTCTAGGTCAGGTCCTGGCTGCTGCTCCAGCCTCCTCCCCCCTCTCCCAGTCCTCGCTGGAACGCTCAGCTCTCCTCACACAGCGCTCTTGCTTCTCACCTCTGGGGGTGTGCTCAGGCTGCTGCTTCTGCCGGGAATGCTCCCCACTCCTTTGTTGCCTGGCTAACTCCCACTTATCCTTTAAGACCCAAAGCAGGCATCACCTCCACTGGGAAGTCCTCCCTGATCCTTTTTTCCATCCTGGGTCAGGTCCCTGGCTCTGGGCTGCTCATCCCTTACTTGAGGGGCAGGAGCAAGTGCTTTGCCCAAGATCACACAGCCGGTGAGTTGGAGCCGAGATTTGAATCCAGGTACATTGGGCTCTAAACAAAGCAGGCTGTTCCATGGTCCAGGTGAGGTGATCATAGCTAGGACTCGGGGAGAGGAGTGGGTGGATTTGAGGGAGAATTTGGAAATGCAGTCCCGTGGATGTGGCTTGTGGTGGATCTGAGCTGGGAGGGGAGGGCAGGGACATGTTGGGGACCTGTGTGTGTCTGTGGCAGGAGCATCTGGGCGGTCAGGGATGGCTACAGGGGGTACATGTCCTAGGGGAAGACCAAGTCTATCAGCCCATGAGACAGCAAAAGGGAGGTAGTTGGAAGGTGGGCCCGGAGCTCCAGAGGCAGGCTTGGTCTGGGGGTGCAGACTTGGGGCTTGGCTGGGTTTTCAAATCCTAGAGTGGATGGGCCACCCAGGGACGAGGTGGGCGGGAGAGAAAAGCCTGGCCTGTGGGTGGGAGCTGTGAGAGACGCTGAGATGAGGAGCCCAGGGTCACAGCACACAGCTTCACAGAGGGCTGAGGCAGCGTGAGGCCATGAAAGGTCAGCCTGGACCACGTGAAGGTCCTCGGTGGCATGTAGCTGGTCTCAGGTGAGAGTTCTCTTTGGTAGACGCTTGAGGGGTCACATGTCTGCTTCCTCCACTTAGCTTGGGGCTCCCGGATGGCAGGACTCTCCCGTTTGCCTCAGGATCCCCAGCGCTGGTCCCGGTGTGGCCCAGAGAACGTATTCAGAACAAATGGATGGACAGATGGATGGGTAGATGGGCCGGCTGCCATCAGGATGCTGTTTGCAGAAGCAGCTCTAGGTGTTTCATTCACCCACCCATCCAACTTTCTTCACCTTTTAGAGCCAGAAAAATGAAATGACAGTGTGCTTGGCCCGCTGTAAGGGTCAGGGCTCGGTGTTTCATGGCTCACAGCACAGTCTGGGCTTCTCTCTGGGGCTTGAAGCCCAGTGTGCACGTCCTGTCCGACCACCAGCAGTGTCTCCTCTGCCTGTCCCCACGGGAATGCTCAGCCGCAGCCCACCTGGCTCCTCTGCCCCTGCCCCCATCTCCTCTCCCCTGCCCTCAGGCTGCGCCCTCTGACCTCAGGCCCCTTAGCTCTGTTGCTTCCCCAGCCCAGCACACTCCCTTGATGCCTTCTCCCCGCCAGCATCCCAGCCCATCCCCTCAGTGGGCATTCCGTACCCCCACTACCTCCCCTCTCCAGCTCTCTTTTTGGTGCCTGAAGGTGGCTGCTCATGGACCCGAACCTGCCTTGAACTTTCAGACCTCCATGCCTCTGCTCAAGCTGTGGCCCCTGCTGGGAATGCCTTTCTGCTGTCCACCTATTGTAAACACACACCTGACCAGTCTTTCTCCTGCTTAAAACCCCTCCCTTAAGACAAGGTCTGAGCGCCTTGGCCCAGCCCTAGCCACCCTCCCCACTCGCCTCTTGCGACGGCTTGCCAGGTCATGTAGGTCCCAGGGCTGCAGAGGTGGATACCCACCTCACAGGCTTTCTGGGAGGCTCACACGAGATACTCCTGAAGTGCTCCTAGCAGTGTTCCTGACACTCAGTAGGAGCTCAGCAAATGCCCCCCCCCCACCCCTGCCTGCCTTCCCTGCATCTGACACACAGTAGGTATACACCAGGGCAAGGGTCACAGACTGAATCACTAAATTACTTAAGACCAGCCAGAGGAGGATGAGGAGAAATTAGGAAGAGACTGCGGGGATCAGATTAAGTGGCCCAGGTCAGACCCCTCCCTTCTGTGGGCCTGTGCCAAGCCAGGGCGAGGGGCCATCCCTGCCTGGCCAGGAGCCAGACAAGTAGCAGAGAGGATGCTCTATTCCGGCCATGGGATCCTAGGCCAGCCACCTTCTTCCCCATACCTCCCTAGCCAGGGAGGGGCTTTGGGAAACCTGAACTTGGCATTGAGCTGAAGAGAAGGAGGAAATGCCAAGGAACAGCTGGTGCGGTAGGCAGAGCCCTGGGCCGGGGTGGGGCAGGGCAGGAATGAGGCAGAGCAGCCTGCTTCACCCCATTTCACAGATGAGGAGAACTGAGGCTCTGAGAGCCAGTGCCCAACCTGGCGGTGCAGTGCTGCCTCCGTCCTTGTGGCCTGGAGCAAAGTGCTTCCCTCTGTGAAATGGGGATGAGACTGTTCCCTGCTTCCTTGGGCTCTGAGGAGAAGGCCTGTGGGTACAGAAGAGCTTTGTCAACCGTCGAACTGTATGTGGCTGTCTTGAGTTCCGATTATTATTCCTTCATGTATTCGTTCCGTCATACAACTCCTGTTGTTGGTCACCTCTAGGCCTGGCTGCTGGGGATGCTGAGATGAGTGAGACAGGTGTATCCAGTTCTCGGCTCCCCTTCCCCCGCCCCAGCCTGGAGCCTCCTCTCCCAGGCTCTTCAGCTCAGTTCCCTTCACGTTTTCCCTGGTGGACAACAGCTGGGAGGGACAGCTTCTGGATGTGTGGGTGCCTGCCCCCGGGCTGTGCCCATTGTATCGTAAGACAGGGCATATTCACAAGCCTGCAGTCAGGATGCCTTGTCTTTCCCTTGAACAGCTAAGGGACTAATCAGCTGGACTTTGGAGTCAGGCAGATTAGAGGGGGAATCTCAGCTCTACTTACTTGCTGTGTGACCTTGACTAAGTCACTCCACCTCTCTGAACTTTGTTTCAATTGTAAGATGGGGATGATGAGAATACCTGCCTTTCAGTGTCAGTGGGCCTGGCACAGGGTAGACACTTGGTAAATGGCAGCCTCCTCACTGTTACTGTGTTGAGGTCTTTCTGAGAAAGGGATCTGGAACAGTCAGGGAGAACTCCAGGCAGGAAGTGCGTCTTGTTCTGGGCTGTGAGGGAAAGGGCAGCTTGGTGTCTGCGGATAGAGGGAGCAGGAGGGCCCTTAGAGGGCAGGGGCCGACCCAGCCACCCTAGAGGAGGGTACTATGACCTTCAGCCTGGCCAGGCTCAGACCCTACCCAGCCCCCAGGCTGGGAGTGAAAGGGCAAAGGTGGTTCTGGGTAGGCCACTTGCATGAGTATTTGCTCAACCAAGGACTGGGGGGGGGGGGGGGGGTTGCAAAGCGAACTCCCCAGAGGAAAGGGCTTGAGCAAATCCACTTTCTAGTTTGACTCTGGTACTCTAGCCTGTGGTCTTGGACAGGTCCCTTCCCCTCTCTCCAAGCCTCAGTTTCTTCACCTATAAAATGGGGTAATAATACCTCCTGTGCCTATTTCTCAAGTAAAGATTACAAGGATAATTTATGTAAAAGATCTTTCTTAAAGTGTTGAGATTAGATTGTGTTGAGAATTTTCTCCTAAACCCCTCTGCCTGCCATTCTAGTAGGGGCTCCTCAGGCTTCTAAGACCAGGAGATGAGGTGGAAGGCATTTCGTTTTGGCCTTGATGGTCAAATAGTCATTTAAACAGCAATACCAGTAGGTATTTAGTTAGTAATTACTGTAGGAGCAAGATAAATAAGAGAATTTTGATAGGGAGTAAGGCCTAATGGAAAACTCCGTTCAGCACGGTCCCTGTAAGTCACTTCTTGACTTACTCTAGGGTTGCAGGAAGACTTGAACCCTCTGGAAGAGTAAGATAGCTCTGAAGGCCCATCCTTCACACTGCTCTGGGTGAAAGGCCTAATTGCACAGCCTGCCAAGGAAATTGCCAGAAGTGAGGGCCACCAGATAGGCTGTCACATACTTCTACTGAAGAGCCCCCAACTGCCCTAGCCACCAGCCTCCTCAAGCCCCTCCTTAAGCACAGCGTGCGGACACGTCCTTGTAGGTAAAGTGTTGCACGTGCCCGTGCTTGCTTCTTGAAGATAACTTTCCAGAGGTACAATTTCATGGGTCAAAGGGCAGTAATCCTGTGGGTCTCTGTAAACCATCTTGCCAAATTGCCCTTCAGAAAGGCTGTATCTGATGACCCAGGATGCCCCCCATGTTCCGATGAGGCTGTCTGCACTCAAAGGGGCAGGGGTCAGAAGGGCAGGGATCAGGGTTGGGCGGTTGCCTCCGTTCTGTGGCCATTTACGAAGTTGCCCCAAGACTCCCCAGTGTGTCTCTGTCTGGTGGGGTGTGGAATCAGTCCATGGGTTCACGCGGGGGGGGGGGGGCTCTGCAGCTTCAGGCCCTTCTGGGGAATGGGGATCGGTTTGTGGGCATCGGGGTGATGGGGGACCTGGGAGCATAGCTGGCCTGTCTCTGACTTTTGCCCTCTGGGGCCCACGGAGGGAGACACTGAATTCCTGACTTCTCAGCCTGGAGATGTGGTTGCCCGGGCCTGGTAAGGGGCCTGCCCTGCTGCAGGGTGAGGGCCCTGCAGAGGTGGGGGTCCCAGACGTGGGGCCAGACTTGAGTGGGTATAGCTGATGGGAGCTCGCCCCAGGCGGCTGGGGAGGGTCCCTGTGACAGTCGCTCTCTCCCCGCAGGATGGCCGAGCCTCGATTTAACAACCCCTACTTCTGGCCCCCTCCTCCCACCATGCCCAGCCAGGTAAGACTGAGCGAGCATCGCCCTCCGGCCGCCCTCCCCCTCTTGGAGCTGCTCTGCTTTGCCCCGGGCTTCGGCCCGGCCCACGGGGCTCGGGGCTCAGGGCTCGCGGCTCGCGGGGGACCGGCGGCCCGGGGAAGGGGCCCGGCGCGGCCCCAACCCCCTCAGTGCCTCTCCTCTCCCGCCCGCAGCTGGACAACCTGGTCCTGATTAACAAGATCAAGGAGCAGCTGATGGCGGAGAAGATCCGGCCGCCTCACCTGCCGCCCACGTCGGCTTCGTCGCAGCAGCCGCTGCTGGTGCCGCCGGCGCCGGCCGAGAGCAGCCAAGCCGTCATGTCGCTGCCCAAGCTGCAGCAGGTGCCGGGGCTGCACCCGCAGGCCGTGCCGCAGCCCGACGTGGCGCTGCACGCGCGGCCGGCCACCAGCACCGTCACAGGTACGGCGGCCCGGGAGTGGGCGGGGCCGGCGAGGACGGGGCGGGGCGGAGGGAGCCCGCCTTCCCCAGGCCCCGGCCAGTCTGGGAGGACAACCCTCCCCTCCCCGCCCCAGCCTTCCCCCGCCCCACCCCACGCGTGACATTGACAGGACGGGGGCGGGTCAGTGCCAGATAACTTAGGGAATCCAGAGGAGAACCTTGACCAGACCCGCTGTGGGTGAGGGGGAAGGGTTTATATGCAGGGAAAGGTTGGCTGTTGATGAGGGAAGCGAAGCAGGAAGAGGGAACAGCACGTGCTAAGCGGGTATGTGTGTAGAAAGCAAGCGTAGGATGGGTGGAAGGGCCAGATGATGATGATGGTGACTACACTCACAATATGGCAGCTGACTCCAGTTGAGCACCAGCGTGTAGCCAGCAGTGTGCCTTTATTACTCCCAGCAGTCCTGTGAGGTGGGTAGTGCTAGTTTTAGGTTGAACAGTCGACCATTTTTGACTTCTAAGACCGCACTTTCGTGTGCACCCTAACCTCTCCATTTAACGGATGAGGAAGGTGAGCCAGAGTTGCACAGTCAGTAGGAGGCAGACACAGGCGGTGTGGGTCCAGAGCCCATGTGGGTTCTAGAGTCCATTGGCTCTAGCTGGTCCTGCTGACACTAGAGAGGAAGCCGACCAGATGTGAAGGGCCTTGTGGGCCACCCCTGCAGTTTGGGCTTTACCCTCCGTCAGTGGGGAGCCATGAAAGATTTGTCAGTAGGGGAGGGAGATGCTCAGAGTTGGGTTGGAAAGCTGAGTCTGGCTGCGAGGTGGGGACTGGCTTGGTGAGAGGGCAGGAGGCAGGGAGATCTATAGGAGAGGGTGGTGGCCTGGACCAGGCAGTGACAGTGGGGATGGAGAGAAGGGGACAGATCTGAGACACGTCGAGGGAAATGGACAGGACTCGATGCTAGACTGGACATAGGGGTGAGGAGCAGGAAGAAGTGAGGGGGCATCCCAGGCACCGCCAGGGAAGTGGGATCACAGGAGGGGGTGGGGGAAAGAGGTGAGCTCAGTGTTGAGTAGGTTGGGGCTGGGGTGCTGGGGGCATCCTGAGGCATTGTCACGCCTGGGTCATCAGGCCATCAGGCTGGGTCTGCCTGATGCCTCCCTCAGAGCCTGGTGGACAGGCTTTCTCCGGAGGCCACAGCAGCCAGGCCTTTGTTCCTCCCCTGGCTCACCCCTACCAACGGCCGGGTGCCTCCCTCCTCATTCCCCCCTCCTCTCAGACGCCCAGGAATTATGGGGCCCAGTGAGCCTCCCTGAGGCCCCAGTGACACTCTGCGCATTCCCCCCTTATTATGACTTTATTAAATTTATTTTTCTCATTATAAAAGTAATATTAAAAAAGTAATATAAGCATATTAAAAGAAATTTGGAAAAAAGAAAAACTAAGGGAAAAAACCCACTCATAATCCCAGCTCCTAACCCAGCCGCTTAGAGAGCCCTTTGGTTCATTTCCTTCCTTTTCCATCTTTTTTGTTTATTTTTTAATATGTGTGCGTATTTTGCTGAGCTTGTAGTAGGGCTGTACCCATGACTTTAACTTGCTGTCATAAGCATTCTATCATAAGCATATTTAATGCTTTTTTTTTAATTATAAAGGTAATGCATAGTCCTTACAGAAAATTGAGAACTCGCAGACAACCTGAAAGGAGAAAAAATTAGTCCTAGTCCTACCACTGTTAGCATTTTCATATGTTTTCTCTATAATTTATTTTGTTTTATCCTTTAATCACAGATGTAAAAAATGGATGAATTCACCAGGTAAAAAAATCAAATAATATAGAAGCAGCTAGATAAAGTATGGAAATGTCCTTTTGCCAGAAAAGTATTCTTCCTCCCTAGAGTGAGCCATCTTTTATACACAAATTGAGTTGGATGTGTCTTCTCAGATCTCTTCCTGTACGTTTACACACACATATGTATTGTCTATTACATACATATGAGGTTTAGGTGTGTGTGCTTTTAAACAGATGGGTTCATACTGTCTATGATTTGCTTTTTCACCTGACAACGGCACATTCGGGCATTCTGTCTCCGTCACTGCACAGCATCTTTCTTCTTTTTGTGGCTTCCCAGTCCTTCACAGTGAGGATGGACCACATCTCTTTACACAGCCCCTGCTGAGGACAAACAGGTTGTGTCCAGTTTTCTCTGAGCAGAATTTTATATGGAAGGTCCCTGTACACAGATGTTTGTGTACAAACATCATCATGGGCAAATATTTCCTTGCGGGCAATTTCTAGAAGTTGTGCACATTAGGGGCGCCTTGGTGGCTCAGTCAGTTAAGCGTCCGACTTTGGCTCAGATCATGATCTCACGGTTTGTGAGTTCAAGCCCCGCGTCGGGCTCTGTGCTGACCGCTCAGAGCCTGGAGTCTGCTTCAGATTCTGTGTCTCCCTCTCTCTCTGCCTCTCCCCCATGCAAGCTGTGTCTCTGTCTGTCTCTCAAAACTGAATAAATGTTAAACATTTTTTTTAAAAAGTTGGGTACACTGACACATCAATGGCTTGTGCGAAACAGCCCTCCACTGAGGGTGATAGATGTATCCTTCCACTGCCAGTGGGTGACACAAACATGTGTCCGTCTCTGGAGCTTACCTTTTTCAATGCATAGATTTTTGGTTTCTTTTTTATTTCTTCAATTTTTTATTTTTTAAAAGTCTTTATTTTTGAGAGAGAGAAAGAGAGCATGCACACAAGCAGGGGAGGGGCAGAAAGAGAGGGAGAGACAGAATCCGAAGCAGGCTCTAGTCTCTGAGCTATCAGCGCAGAGCCTGACTTAGGGCTTGAACTCACAAACTGTGAGATCATAACCTGAGCCAAAGTCAGACACTTAACTGACTGAGCCACCCAGGTGCTCCTGGTTTCTTTTTATTTATTTTATTTTATTTTATTTTTTTTTCAACGTTTATTTATTTTTGGGACAGAGAGAGACAGAGCATGAACGGGGGAGGGGCAGAGAGAGAGGGAGACACAGAATCGGAAACAGGCTCCAGGCTCCGAGCCATCAGCCCAGAGCCTGACGCGGGGCTCGAACTCCCGGACCGCGAGATCGTGACCTGGCTGAAGTCGGACGCTTAACCGACTGCGCCACCCTGGCGCCCCTCCTGGTTTCTTTTTAAAAGAAGCAATGTTTTAGTCATGCAATAGATACTATTTTCATCTTTTGTCTGTTTAACCTGATATTGTAATGTTTCTAGTCCCCCCCCTTTTTTTCAGTGTTTATTTATTTTTGAGAGAGAGAGACAGAGTGACAAAGTGCAAGCGGGAGAGGGGCAGAGAGAGCGGGAGACACAACATCCCAAGCAGGCTCCAGGCTCTGAGCAGCCAGCACAGAGCCCGATGCTGGGGCTCGAACTCACAAACCTTGAGATCACGACCTGAGCTGAAGTCGGATGCTCAACCGACTGAGCAACTCAGGCGCCCCTGTAGTCCCCTCCTTTTTAAAAGAATAACTTTTATTAACAAAAGTTTATTTTATTTTTTTTCCTTTTCCCTTTTTTAAAAGTTTTTTTTTTTTAAGTAATCTCTACACCCAGTGTGGGGCTTAAACCCACAACCCCCAGATCAAGAGTTGCACACTCCAACTAAGCCAGCCAGGCGCTCCTATATATATATCACAGAAGTTTCTTCAAAAGTTCATTGTCAAAGAATCAAAGTATAGCTAAGTAAAAAAAAAACAAAACAAAACAAAAAAAACACATTAAAAAAAAAATTACTCCTAATTGCATTATCCACATCACTTTTGGTACATCTTCTCCTACTTAGTTTTTCTGTGCATACATAGGCCATTTTGTTGTTTGTTTTGTGTGTATATTTTGTTTTACAAACATAACCTCTTTTTATTTTTACTTATTTATTTATTTTTAATGTTTATTTATTTTTGAGAGAGACAGAGCTTGAGCGGGGGAGGGGCAGAGAGAGAGGGAGGCACAGAATCCGAAGCAGGCTCCAGGCTCCGAGCTGTCAGCACAGAGCCCAACACAGGGCTTGAACTCATAGACCACGAGATCATGACCTGAGCCAAAGTCGGACGCTCAACTGACTGAGCCACCCAGGTGCCCCATAATAACCTCCTTTTTAATGGACACTTAATGTTCAGTAGAGAAAACTGACCACAATTTATTGACCCCTTCCCTAATGTTACACATTTCAGTTCCTCCTGCTTTTTGCTATTGCACATAACACAGTAGTGAACATCTGTGTGCTTGGTTTTTTTCTGCAGTTTGAAGTATTTCCAAAGTGCCTCTGTTACCAACCCAGTTTAGTCCTTAGGTATCTAAGGCATCCTACACACACACACACACACAGCCTCTCATTTAGTTCCCCCGGGGGTGATTTACGAAGAGAAGTGGGGGGGTGCTTAGAAAGGCCTCTGCAGCTGCCCCCACCCCATGTCTTCCACAGGTCTGGGGCTCTCCTCCCGGACCCCGGCTGTGAGCACGTCCGAGTCGAGTGCAGGCACGGGGACCAGCACCCCGTCCACGCCCACCACCACCAGCCAGAGCCGCCTCATCGCCTCGTCCCCCACCCTCATCTCAGGGATCACCAGCCCCCCCCTCCTGGACTCCATCAAGACAATCCAGGGCCATGGCCTGCTTGGCCCCCCCAAGTCCGAGCGCGGCCGCAAAAAGATCAAGGCGGAGAACCCAGGGGGGCCGCCCGTCCTCGTAGTCCCCTACCCCATCCTGGCCTCGGGCGAGACTGCCAAGGAGGGCAAGACATACAGGTGGGGGTCTTGGTGGGAGGGGGTCCACGTGGGCGTGGGGTGGAGGCTCACACCAAGGGCTGCCCTAGGAGCCCAGCAGCTGGGGCTGGAAAGAGGGACTGCAGAGGCTGAGGGTAGGGGCCAGGTCTAGAGGAGCGGGGTCTCCTGGTGAGCCCCACCCGCAGCCCATTCACAGGCAGGCTGGGGCTATCCCGCCATGCATATGCGGGGTTGCCAGAGGCCAACCTCACCACAGCCTGGTGTCGTGGGAGTCCTGTTCTTCCTCCCTTCAAGCTCTCGACCCTCAAGTTGGAATCATCTGGGGAGCACTCAGAAAATGCCAATCCCAGGGCAGCACCTCCAGAAATTTTGATATAATTGGTTAGAGGGCGGACATGCAGAGGGCCAGTGAGCCCCTCTTGAAAGCTCCCCAGATGATTCTGATGTGCAGCTGGGAGGAGGACTTCTTACTCCCAAAGTTAGGGCATGTGGCCCCGGGCACACCTTCCCGGGATTGCCAGGCCTGTCTTCCCTGGGAAATGGAAACCGTTTCCCCCACTGCTGGGAATGGGCCCCTGGGGGAAGAGCCTTTGCCTCCAGATTGGAGGGTGTCCAGGCTGGGAGCCTGTACCCCTGGGCTCCTCACAAGGAAGCTCTGTGCCCAGGTGCAAGGTCTGGGTGCTGTGGAAGGTGCCCTGAGCAGTATACTGGCAGAGGGCAGGGGCGGGGCGGGGGTGGTGGCGGTGGCCGTCTTCCCAGGTGTGAACGTGCCTCTTACCCCACAGGTGTAAGGTGTGCCCGCTGACCTTTTTCACCAAGTCTGAGATGCAAATTCACTCCAAGTCACACACCGAGGCCAAGCCCCACAAGTGCCCGCACTGCTCCAAGTCCTTTGCCAACGCCTCCTACCTGGCCCAGCACCTGCGCATCCACCTGGGCGTCAAGCCCTACCACTGCTCCTACTGTGATAAGTCCTTCCGACAGCTCTCCCACCTCCAGCAGCACACCAGGTGAGTGGCCCGCCTGGTGCTGCACCCCCTGCAGCCGATTTCAGCTCAGCACCTGCGCCGGGTGCATGGACCTGGTGCAGGAGGGGCAAGGACCTTCTCTAGGTGCCCACTGCCCCGAGGGTCAAGACCAAACTCCTTTACTTGGCATTTGAAGCCTTTGGTGATATGACCTCTGTGGACCTCACTGGCTTCTGCTGTCACTACTATGCCACCCTTCCCACTGTGTCTCATCTGCTATGTCCTTTGCCTGAAACACCCTCCCCCATCTTTATCCTTTTTCTCTGGCCTCTCCTAGCCATCTCTCAGTCCAGCCTCTCCACGCCCCGACAGGCCCTACGCATCCCCATCACGGTAGCGATAGGCTGTCTCGTCCTTGCCGGCTTCTTTTCCCAACTTCCAAATATATTGATGGCTCTTGAAGGCAAGGGCTTGGTCCCGTCCATCCCCATATCCCCAGTGTGTGGCACGTAATAAGCATCTGGGCATTTGTTTAATATTTGTGGAATAAATAGAACTGTCTTTTATAGGTCATGTGATTCATCCATTTGACAAGTATTTGCAGAGCCTCTACCATAAGACAGACATGATTCTAGGTTCTGGGAGCGCAGCAATGAACAAAACAGACAAAACTCCCTGTCCTTATAGGCGTACAGTCTAGTCGAGCATGTCAGAGAGAGATTCAGAAATACAAATGCTTTCAGGGAAGACAAGTTTTTGCAGGGGAGTACAGACATCAGAAAGACTGACTATCCACCCGCCAAATAAAAACACCATAGGTGTTTAGAGAAACAAACCAAAGGTTACCAAGATTGCAGTTCATCTCTTCAGAGGGGAAGAAACACAGAGGTTTTCTCTCCCCTGGTGATAGCATCTGTGAGCATTGCTATGCGTTGGCCGCTATCTGCTTTGTAAAAGTCAGGGGTAATGTTTTTGTGTGGAGCTTGTAACTTGCAGGAAGTGCTCAAATGTTGTCTCTTTTGAGGACTGATGCTAGACAGAGAGACCCTAGTTTTTATTTTTAGGTTAAACTGTTGTTCTTTTTGTGATTTATTCATACGCATCCATTGCCTTTGTGTGCTTTATCGCGGGGCACAGAGTGCTTTGTCTGTTCCTTGGACTCGGAGGCATAATGTGTAGGTTTGATGGTAGGAAACACATGGCAGAGTGTCAGTAGGACAAGGCATCCGTGGTTTCTCCCGGTCCTGCGCCTCCTGAGGCATAAGGATCTGACCACAGAACTTTCTCTCCGCAGGTTTCTGATTTTTTGTCATTACTTTGATTATTTTTTAAAGTTTGGCCAGTTTTCTGGACACAGGCATGTGTAATGAGGTATTGATGAAGAAAGAAAGTCCTGCTGGCTAGAGCATACAATACTAAGGTTTGAGAGCTAACTTCCGTCAGATTTCACAAAACCCCTGGGTCCTCCTTTTAATCTGTGTGTGAAAAAATTCCTCATGATATTATTTAAGATCAGTAACCTGGAAGGATCCAGTTCACCTGTTGGGTTGTGCCTGTACAGCCTGTGATGGAAAGGGTACCTTGTTTTTGGAGACCCCTCCCCCCCGCAACCCAGTGCGTTGGCGTTTCGGGCTGGCAGGAGTAACTTCATGTGTCACCTTGAAGGCTGGGGTTCCATAAGCCAGGGAGCAGATCTGGTCCAGTTTCCTGGAGCCTTAGGGAGCCCACATTCCCACATGTGAAGGACAGTCCTTGTGTTTTACTATCAGGCTTATAGTAATCTAATACTATAATGAAATGAAATTTGTCTTCAAATGTGACATTTCTGGCATGGTGGTGGTTACAAATTTGATTTACCCAATTATATCCTGTTGGGAAGGAGGACAGATTCTTACTGGCCCTATTTACCAAACTAATGGTCACGAAGAGCAAATGGTCTCAAATTGTTGGCAGTTGGTCGGAGCAGGGTTTTTTTTTTTTTTTTTTTTTTTTAATATTTATTTATTTTTGAGAGAGAGAAGGAGACAGAGTGTGAGTGGGGGAAAGGCAGAGAGAGAGGGAGACACAGAATCCAAAGCAGGCTCCAGGTTCTGAGCTATCTGCACAGAGCCCGACGTGGGGCCCGAACTCAAAAACCGTGAGATCGTGACCCGAGCTGAAGTCGGTCGTTTAACTGACTGGGCCACCCAGACACCCCGGTCTGAGTATTTTATTCCTTGTTCAAAGACAGCTTAAATTGAGGATTAGAGGTAGATCAAAGAAGAAATGGGTTTTCTCATATGCCCTTTAGGAAATAGAAATTAACCCCAACTAAATCACTTTCATTCCGTCCAAAGTCATAATTCCTGTTCTGCTGATCTCGGGTGGTTAGTCTGCTTTGCCAACTTGCCTACTTCTGGAGTGAAGACTCTGGGACCCTGGCTTGGCCTCACACAGTGTCTGCTCGAGGTGATGGTGTCCGTTTGGAAGCTGTGCCCCTTCATCTGTTCTCTGGAGCATAAAGAACTAAGTGCGTGTGCTGTAGTCCTCTACTGAGCCCGTAATCTCTTGATGTCTTCTTCAGAAGACTCAACTTCAGACCTGAAGCAGAGGTCTTTTGGCAGGTGTGAGGGGGACATCAGATCTGTTGCTGAGACCAAATGACTCTGGTCCATTTATTGCAACAATCAACAATGTCAGAGTGGAGGAGAGTGTAGTCTTTTATTACGATATATTGCATGATCAATATTTAAGATTAAGAACAGATTTTAGGTAGCAAGGGCATTGACCCATCTTCAGACTCTTTTATCTCATAAGACGTGTTGTAACTGTCACTAATTGTTAAGTGTAGTTAGTTAAATGTAGAACAAAATCTTTTTTTTTTTTAATTCAAGTTGTTAACATACAGTGGAGTATTGTTTTCAGGATTAGAACCTAGTGATTCGTCACTTACATATAACACCTAGTGCTCATAAGGACATGTCTTTTTGATTTTTATTGTACGTGAAAATAAGTTACTGTTTTTTGATCTCCATTTTAAAAAGTGCCCAAATGTATATATTTATATTATATAGCATATATAATTCTGTATGATATACTATATAATTGTATAAGTTCATATTATCACACATATAAAATGAATATAAGTGTATAATACATTTTCTGTATGTATATACACACATAAAATATAAAATTAATGCAGGGAGATTGGCCATCTCTTTTTTTGATTTGCCAGCTGCCTTACACTAATATCTTCATAGGACAGCCCTCGCTCTAGTGTTTGGCTAATTAAAAATACAGAAAATGCAAAACACTCAATCATTTGGAGCATCCCCTCTTTTAGTAAAGCAAAGAAGGAACTCTTTGGTGTTGCCTGGTGGCCATCTGGAAAGTCCAAGAGCGTTTGGGTGTAAAAGATACTTTGATAACATTATTCTGATTGGGGGCCTGGATTCGAGAAGGCTAGGGCACAAGGTGGGCAGCCTAGGTAAGGTATGAGCATTGGTTTGGTAGTAATGGGGCACCTGGGTGGCTCAGTCGGTTGAGCGTCTGACTTCAGCTCAGGTCATGATCTCTCAGTCTGTGAGTTCGAGCCCCGGTTCGGGCTCTGTGCTGGCAGGTCAGAGCCTAGAGCCTGCTTCGGATTCTGTGTCTCCCTCTCTCTCTGCTCCTCCCCTGCTCACGCTCTGTCTCTCCCTCTCAAAAATAAATAACATTCAAAAACCAATTTTTTTTAAATGGGGCGCCTGAATGGCTCAGTAGGTTGGGCGTCTGACTTCGGCTCAGGTCATGATCTCACGGTTTGTGAGTTGGAGCCCCGCATCAGGCTCTGTGCTGACAGCTCAGAGCCTGGAGCCTGCTTCGGATTCTGTGTCTCCCTCTCTCTCTGCCCCTCCCCCACTCATGCTTTGTCTGTCTCTCTCTCAAAAATAAACTTAAAAAAAAAAAAAAAAGAAACACAGTAGCAAGTAGTGATAATTAGGAGGAATCCTAGTTTTTTCAGAAGTAAACCTTTGTTTTAAAATACTCATCAAGACTTGACCAAAAAAGCAACAAAAATTTCACAGGCCTTTGAAGGCGGGGATTTTGCTGATGTTCCTTATCCAGGGATTGCTATCCATTCCCAAGGACACACATTTTTTTTTTTCCTCGAGTGATTTGAGTGCATAATGGTGGGAAACCAAACAAGCAATAGAAGAGGGTCCTATTAACATTAGAGACAAATTGTTAGTCATTAGACAGTGACACATATAATTAAACCGATGTGTCCTCACCCAGTGACAAAGAGGTGGGTGTCCCGAATACAAGTTCCAGAATCCGTTAGACAAACAAACAAACAAAGAGCTAAACACAAAGAAGCAACCAGATTCCAGGTTCCTTGTTTCCTGCCGTTCCACAGAGACTCTTTCCTGCTTTTTGCCCCTCCGTAGAAAACCAGACAGTCAAGGCACATAATCAAATCCATCTTCCAAGGGTGATGCCAGTAATGAGGGGAATAAAAGAAGGTCACGTCCAAGGCTGAACCAGCCCTGGTTACGTAATAGAAATAGAGTTAGAAACAGGTTGAGCAAGATGACTCTGGTTATGGAGAAAGATGTGCCTGGAAGCATTCTGGGGGGCAACGTGGTTTCGATGTGCTGAAGCACTTTGGTGGGGCTTTCCTCCGTGAAAGGAAGACAAAACAAGTAAGGAAACGCAGGTAGCTGGCAGAGTGTTCCAGAAGTCCAGAGTTCAGGGGTGGCCCCGTAAATAATAAAAACCACATGTATTTCAAAAGAAAGTCAGCAGAACTTTGCAGAGAGTCTGGTCAGCGTAGAAAAATGGCATCTGCCACACCTGTGACAGCAGTTAGCACGAGTGCGAGGTCATGTACCTGCAGCCTTACGAGGCAAAAGTCGGGGATCGCACCCGTTTTGTGAGTGGGTAGGTGAGGTCTAGGAAGAGGCTCGAGTGACCGGATGCGTTTATCTATTCAGGCTGCAGACCGGTTTGCATTTGTTTTCTCAGCTATGTGACGTTTGTGTGCGTGTGCCGGGGTAGGCGTACTGGTGGCAGGGGTAGGCGTCATTCCGTTTTTCTCGAGTCTGATGATCGTAACGGTAGTCAAATTCTACCCACAACTAGCCTGTGTCCAGGACGCCCGTGTGCCTGGCCCCGAGGCGGGTGTTTCCATACGAAGTCCTCCTGTAGTGTGAAGCTGTGTTTCTAAAGAAGAGGTAGCGAATCTGAAAAGTGGCACGGAGAGTGAGTCATCTCAAGGAAGGTTAACTTGGGCTGACCCTACCGTTGTGTTAGTTCCAAAGCATTCACCCGGCTGAAGTCGTTCAGTGTAATTTATTACCTGGGAAATAAAAGAAAAAATGAGAACTGATGAATTGTCCATAATTTTATTTAAACATTGAATAAATTCTCCTTCTTGGTTTGTATAACCTGTTTATCTTAAATAGAAAGTATCTCATGAACACCCTTCGAAGAAGTCACTGAATCCTTATGGTCATTACAATCCGTATTATTATCGCCATTTTCGGACTGAGGAAACTGGGTTGAGGGAGGCAAAGTCACTTGCCCAAGGTCACTGTGCTACGAGGAGGCAGAAGTGAGATTTGAGCCCAGATCCCCCAGGAGCCCGTGCGTCACAGGGAGGAAGGGGCTGCGGAAGAAGCTCCTATGGGTGGAGGTGCCAGCTACCGCAGGGCGAGTCTTCGGGGCCCCAGGGTGGGGGGCTGCGGCGGTCCAGGGGCACTGATTTCAGCTCGGCCCCCCTGCGCTGCCTGTGGTCCGCACATGTGAGCGCATGTGGGGAGCGGGCTGGGTGCTCCCCTACAGAGGAGATGCCCTGCGGAGACAGGAGTCTGATGTTGGAACTGAGCAGGGGTGGAGTCGGGGGAGGTGTTCCCGGCAGGGGCGGCAGCATGAGCACAGGCTCAGAGGCTTGCTGGGGGGGTGGGGGGGGGGCGGTGTCTTCATGTGCGTAGCTCACTGGAAAGTTGGAAAGACTCCCTTCCAGGGAGAGCAGTGGTGGAGGGGGAGGCTTTAGAAACCAAGGCCTTGAATGCTGGGTCACAGGGTTTGGACTCTGTCCTGGAAAAGGGGGAGACAGTGGAGGTCGCCAGGCAGGACCATGACGAGGTCAGATCCCTGCGCTGCTGCTGTGGCGGAGGCCAGGAGGGGAGAGGCTGCTGCTGGGAGTCCAGGGAGGAGGCCAGGCAGCTGTGGTACTGGGACTAGGAGGCTACAGGGGGCTTTCCGTCTCCAGAGGGCTTGGCTGGGGCCCTGAGGAAGGACCTTTGGAGGGTGCAGTCAGTCAACAAATACTTGCATCCTATATCTGAGGATGGACGTCATTGGCTATGTTGAGCATATTACTGTTGCCAGTGACCGACATCAGAGAGAAAACCCTCTTTGATTCAGTCCCTGCCTATGTACAGGGTCCTCTTGGCTGGGCCCTGGGGTGATGCTGGTGAACAAGCCCAGGGGAGCCCTTGTCCTCAGGAGGCAGCCCGGGAAACAGTGACTAGGCAGTGACAAAATACACATTGCTTGGGGGTGGGCTGCAGGGCCCAGGCCTGCTGTGGGGGCTCAGGGAAGGCCGCCCAATCGGGGGCTTTTACGCTGAGAACAGGAGTGTGGGTTTTCACCGGGTATTAGCTGGGGAAGAGTGTGCCCGGAAGAGGGGGCAGCCTGGATAAAGGGAGGAGCTTGGAGTCTAGTGGGGTCAGGGAGGCTGGTGGGGCCAGAGGCTGGGGGCAGGGGAGAGGAGCGGTGGGAGGCAAGGACTCTGGGGTGAGCCCTGGAGGGGTTAAGACAAAATCAGCACATGCCCTGGGGTCCCTTAGTCCCCTCTGCCACCTGACCCCAACTGAATGAATTCCCCAGCCCTGGAGGGGGTGAGGGGAGGATGGAATGGAGGGGTTGTGTCAGTCTAGATGGCCATTAAGGTCCTTCCATTGTGGGGACAGGGTGCCATGGTTGGAATGATGTCTCCAGATACATGACATCCAGAAATGTGCAGGTAGAATGGGGTTCTCAAAATCAGGCCAACCCAGCTCCACTTGGCAGGTTTCTGTGCAGCCTGTGAGCTGGCTCTGGCCTTGGCATCTGAGCCTGGGCCCTGTGCTTGCCCTCCTCCCTGTTGCATAGAGGAGATGGTGGGGGGGGGGGGGGGGGGGGGGGGGGGGGGGGCGGGGTGTGGCCCCTGTACTGAGGATGCATCCGGATCACAGGTTTGGTGGGCAGAATCATTAGTCAGACAAGGTTGCCGGGTGAGAAATGGATCTTGGACCAGGATGTAGGGTGCATAGGAGCAGGGAGGTGAGGCCAGAGCACACGATGAAGGGCCTTGAATGACACACTAAGGAATCTGGACTCTTACCGTGTTCACGGTGGGCAGCCAATGTCTTCCTGATGGTGGGGAATGTTGTTTATTCAAGCCTATCCAGCATGGGGCCTGCTGGGACAGGGACCTTAGTTTGATGAGTTTGTTGATGGGCAGAGCAAGCCGCCTCGGTGAGGTGGCCTGGGGCATTAGGGACACCGTGTGGCCAGGGCTGGGTTCTCCCTTCCCTTGATGCTTGGTGGCAAATTAGGCAAACAGCGTTCAGGACGGCCAGCATTTCACGGCCCACCTACTTGGCGGAGAGGATTTGCCAGAACAGGTGACTGAAGACAAGCTCAGGCTGATCGCGGAGGGCTTGCACGGAAGATGGGGCTCTGGGGCATCTGCGCACCTGTCCGGGCCCACCTCCGTCCTCACCTGGGCCCCCTGGGCTGTCAGGCAGGCACGAGCAGCACCACTGACCTGAACAGAAAATCCAGCCGTCCACCTTTGAGTCATCACTCTGGAGTCACCTGCTCAGTGAGGCCCACCCTGACCTCGTGGTTTAAAACTGAATCCCCACCCCCCGGCATCCGTGCTCCACCCCCCCCCCCGCCCCACCTTATTCTCTGTCTTCTCACAGCACTTATTACCTTCTATGTGGGATTTACTTACTTATTTCATGTTTGTTGTTTGTTTCCATGAGGCAGTGGTTTTTTGCCTGTTTTGTTCATTCTAAGTACCAAGCGTGGTGCCTGGCACAGGGCTACCCAGCATAATGAATGTTGAGTGAATGAATGAATGAATGAATGAATGATGGTAATACTGGCAAGTGTTGACTGAGTGCGGACTTTGTGCCAACACTTGGCCAAACCCCTTAACACGTATTATCTAACATAATCTTCACAAAGTGACGTGAGGTCATATTTTTATGCTCATTTTGCAGATGAGGAAACCGAGGCTCAGTGATTTTTCCCAGGGTCGCCCAGCTAGTAGCTGGTGCAGCCAGGATGAGAACCCAGGAGTGGGAGGGGACAGAGGGCTCACAGGAAGGACAGAGAGGGCTGAACTGCCGGGCCTCCCCGTCCTGCATTCTCTCAGTAGCTGGGGTGACCAGGTAGCCATCCCAGACATGAATCTGATGTGGGGACAGGGCAGGGGACAGAAGTTGGGAGCCAGTCAGAGACATTTCCTTCTGAAGGCAAGAGGCAGAGTGGACAGGCACGTTCCTGGCAAAGCTGTGGATCTGTGTTCTTTCAGTGGTGGTCTGTAGGTGGGTTTTTAAGAAGAGAGGCGCAGAAAGCAGTCAACGCGGGCCCCTGAGGCTGGGGGGCTGGGCCGGGTGTCTGAGTGGGTGCTGGCGGTGGGCGGGGTTCAGCAGGGAGCTGTGGGGAGCAGGAGGGCTCTGGTTACAGACCGGCAATGGGAGGCCAGAGAAGGAAGGAGAAGGGGGTACCTGTGAAGTCCCTGGCCCTTGCCTGGGGCTCTCTGGGGAGTGTATGGAGTGGAGACAGGGCGGCTTGGGAGTCAGATATATGGTGCAGGCCATCCAAGGGCCTGGGGGGCCGGAGCCGGCCCACGGTATCTGTCAGGGACTCCACCTCACTGCCCATTGCAGAATCCACACAGGCGACAGACCCTACAAGTGCCCACATCCTGGCTGCGAAAAGGCTTTCACTCAGCTCTCCAACCTCCAGGTGAGTGCCCGCCTGCCCCTTGCCTGCCTGGCCCCCTGCAAAGGGAGCCCAAGCCGGGGTGGGGCTGGGGGGAGCCCCGGCTGGCCCCTGACCCCTCTGTGCTCCCCACAGTCTCACCAGCGCCAGCACAACAAGGACAAGCCCTACAAGTGTCCCAACTGCTACCGGGCCTACTCGGACTCCGCGTCCCTGCAGATCCACCTCTCCGCCCACGCCATCAAGCACGCCAAGGCCTACTGCTGCAGCATGTGCGGGCGGGCCTACACCTCGGTGAGTGCCTGGGGTCCTCGGGGGACCTCTTCCTCTCCCGTGGCCTCAGCCATCTTGATTCTCCCCACTTTGCAGACAAGGAAACCGAGGCCCAGAGAGGGGAAGCGACTCCCCGAGATCACGATGAGTGGCAGAGCCAGGGTTTCGGCTCCCCAGTTCTGTTTCTGGCTGCCCTGGGCCGAGCCTCCAGCCTCTTGGCGGCCTGTAGCCGCCTGGTTTCCTCCAGGCCCCGGAACACTGAAGGCAGTGGTGGGGGGCCAGGCACCCTGCTCTCCAGAGCCAGAGCCGGGCAAGGGCCTTCCCCGCTGGGCAAGCTACAACCCCCATCGTGGCCACAAGAGGGCGCAGTGGCTCGGCCCAGAGCTTCCTCATCTCCGGAAAGGCCTGAGCAGTACCAGAAAGGTCATCTCATCCGACCCTCTGTCCCTGGGTGGGAATTTCCCTAAGCGAGGGCCTTTCAGCAAGAAGAGGGAGGCTGGGCAAATCACCTGAGTGTGTGTGCGTCTCCAGCTAATCAGATATGCTGGTTAATAGACCCCCTTGCAAATCCAGACAGAGATCACTGAGCCTCAATTTCCTCATCTGTAAAATGACGAGGTAACAGTTCTCAACTCACAGGGCTGTTGGCCAGCAGAGCCAGTGCCTAATAAACATCCGCTAATACAATGATTTATTCTCTCAGTGTTTACTGAACACTTGTGCCAGGCTATTTGGAGTCAGGATGAATCAAACAGACATATTCTCTGCCCCCAGGGAGATTGGACTCTACTGCTGGAGACAGATATTAAACAAGTAACCAACAAATAAATATGGAATGACAAATTATGGTAATTGCTGTAAGCAGGGTTTCTCGTCCTCGGTGCACGTTAACATTTGGGCAGGGTACCTTTGTGCTCGGGGACTGTTTCGTGCATTGTAGGATGTTAGATAACATCCTTGGCCTCTGTGCACTAGCTGTCCCTCCCCAGGCTGTGACAACCCAAAATGCCAGACGTTGCCAAATGTCCTGGGGCAGGCGGTGAAGTCACCTCTGCCTGGGAACCACTGGTCTGAAGGAAACATAGGTTGATAAAGCAGCAGGGAGGCTAGAATGGAATTGAGAAAGGGACGTAGGTCTGGGTAGGTCAGGGGAGGGGGTAACATTTCAATGAAGCCTTGAAGGGTAAGGAGGGTGAGAAACTTCGAAGCAGGAGCACACCCTGAGGTGGAACAAGCCTGGCAGGTTCCAGGAACTGAAAGAGGATTAGGTCACACGGGGCTGTGGGGCCTTGTTAGGGAGTTTGGATATTTGCCAGGTAGAATGGGAAGCCACTGGGGGGAGGGGACTGTCCGGGAGGATATTTTTGAGAGGTCACTGACTGGAGGGGGCACACGGCGGGTGGTGAGGAGTATGGCAGGTGCCAGCCAGGCCTGTGGTTGCTGAGCACTGGGTTCATGACACTGCTCCCTCCCTGGAGTTCAAAGGGCAGAGGAGAGTTGAAAGACAGAGGGCAAAACCTGCAGGGAAAGGGCCCCAAGGGGAGAGGCAGGGCACCCCAGAGACCTAGGAGCCCCACTCAGCCGGCTGACCGTCAGCTGGTGTCGGCCTCAAGTTCTGGACACCCACCTCCTCACATCTGCTCCCAGGGGAGGGACCACAGGTGTCCATGAGTGAGATTCTAGATGGAGTCTGTCTGAATTCTGGGGGCAGTGGGGGTGTCCCAGCTCACCTGTCTTGCGGTGACTGGACTCTCTAGAACTGGGCCTGACTGGACTCTCTAGAACAAGAATAATTACCTTTATTTTAAATTTATTTTTAAGTAAAGTATAGTTGTCATGATATTTTTTTAAGTAGGCTCCATGCCCAATGTGGGGCTTGAACTCGGGACCCTGAGATCAAGAGTCACATGCTTTACTGTCTGGGCTAGTCAGGTACCCTGACATCTTTTTTTTTTTTTTTTAATGTTTATTTTATTTTTTTGAGAGCGAGAGAGAGAGCGCGTGTGAGAGTGCACATGCAAGCGAGCAGGGGAGGGGCAGAGACAGAGAGAGAGAGAGAGAGAGAGGGAGAGAGAGAGAGAATCCTTAGCAGGCTCCGTGCTGTCAGCACAGAGCCTGACTCGGGGCTCAAATTCATGAAGTGTGAGATCACGACCTGAGCCGAGATCAAGAGTTGGACGCTTAACCGACTGAGCCACCCAGGCGCCCCAGTGACATACCTTTAAAAAAAAAACCCAAAAAACATTTTAATGGATTGAATTTTAAACTACTTTAATACATAAAAGAAATATTTTAGAAGAGTGAACCCCCACGTTCCCATTAGCCCCCAGAACCATCAACCAATCTTGGCTCATCCATATCCCTATTTTCTGTCCCTATAATGTCTCTGTAGACATTATGTTGTTTCATCTGAAAATTTTCACTCTGTCTCTAAACAGCAGGACTCCTCTTTTTTAACATGTCCACGGTATCTTTACCATTTCCTTAAGTCCTTGGTACCATCAGCTACCCGGTCAGCGTTCACATTTTCTGTCTCCTGAATTAGGCCAGCATTTTGTTTACTTCCAATTTGATTTTGTAATCAAGATCCAAGGAAGATCCCTACATTGTACCCTGTCAATATATCTTTTAGTCTGTTGATCCCCACCCTGTGCCCCTGCCCCCACCCGGGTCGTTTTTTTCTTTGCAGTGTATTCACTGAAGAGTAGTTTCCTAGTTTGCGTGCTGCTGAGGCTTTCCCTCTGGTGGTGTTGATAGCCTGTTGCCACCACATTTGAGGGCTTCCTCTACATGACTGATTCTGAGCAAGGTGATGTTTGAGACCGGGGGACTCTGTCCTGTGGGGCGAGTGGTGGCTCACCAGGTATTCCCACTTCCTTCCACCTGAGTGTGAGGGCCTCCGGGCCTGCAGGTGAGCCCGCGGGTCCCCTCACGCGCCCAGTTGTGGGTGCCTCAGGTCAGACTCAGCAGAGCCGTGGGGACAGTCAGGGGACGAGCCGAGCATGCCCAGTTTGTGCTTCCCCAAGTCACCGGTCCTATCAGGTCCGGCTTCTTCCCAAGGGAGGATTGCGTGGGGGGGGGGGGGGGGGTGGCAGAGGCTGGGGCTCCCACCACCGCCTGGAATCCAGAGTAGAGACTGGGGGAGGAACAGTCCCCTTGACCCTTACCGCGTGCTGGGAGCTCTATCTGCCATAGCGACCCTTTGAGGTGGTTCCTTCAAGAGGAGGCTTGGACATACGAGATGACGTATCTGAGGTTCCACTGCTACGAGGTGGCAGGACCCAGCTCAGACCAAGGCCTCCTGCTTCTCCCTCGCTGGAGCACCGGCCAGATGGGGGCGGCTGTGCTCGATCCCCCAGGCAGGCTGAGGTGCAGCCAGTTGGCCTGGCCCTCGGGAGGTCCAGGTGGGCACTTCTGAGGGACGAGCCTGGTGCGTGCCAGCTCTCCAGCTGGCATGCTGTGGGCTCACAGTCTGGTAAATGGGCCAGCACCCACGCGTGGCGGCAATGCAGCATCATTGCTAGAACCGATGCTCGCTGCCCACCTGATGGCCTAGAGCCGGGCTGCTCGCCACCAGCTGGCCCACCTACCACGGAGCCCTCCCGTGGCCACTTGTGGGAACTGCAGCCTCCCCTGCGTGTCTTGCCAAGGGTTGCATGTTCTGAATCTCACCCCTGCCCACAGGAGACCTACCTGATGAAGCACATGTCCAAACACACGGTGGTGGAGCACCTGGTGAGCCATCACTCGCCCCAGAGGACGGAGTCCCCCGGCATCCCGGTGCGAATTTCCCTCATCTGAGCCGACCCAAGGCGCCGCCCCACCCTGCCCACTGGCAGACACAGACCCAGGCAGCACCAGGCCCCAGCTTCCTCCAGGGGCCCTCCAGGAACAGCCGAGCTCTCTCATGACCTTCCTGACCTTCCAGAAAGCCTGGGCTGCAGAAGCCCTGCCCGGTCCAGCTCCGGGGGCGGCCAGGCCAACTGCAAGATTCTGGACTGTTTTGGTGGCATCCAAAGACGATCTCAGAGCACTTTGAACCTCTCTGTTGGGTTTCTTTTTGTTCCCCACCCTCCACTTGCTTCACTGTTTTTGTTTTTAAGTTTGTTTTGGAAATAACAAAAAAGATATTTATTGGCCAAGAAGTTGGTGCTGCTAAGACCGAGAAATGAAAAGAATCGGACAGATGGACACAGAGAACCAGAGGGCAGCGTGGGACCTTCTCTTGCCACAGCCTCAGGTCTTGAGGGAAGGCTCAGGCCTGGGTTTCTGGACTGCAAAGGGGACCCCCCCCCCAGGTGGGAGGGGACAGGAAGCATCTGGAGTGAGCCACTCACCCCTAGGTGCCCAGCTCCAACCTCTCGGGCTACACCCCGGGCATTACTGAGCAGAGGGATGAGGCAGCTCCTGGGGCTGCCTGGGCTTCAGGAGGCAAAACAGGAGAGGGGCTGGGAGATCCACAGGACCAAAGGGTGCAGCGTTGGGCTGGGCTGGGCACAGGCCCAGGGAAATGGGGTGAGGGTGGGCTGGGTAAGACCTGGCCCTCCACTGCCCTGAAGACCACCCCAGTCTACCTCGGTGCTGGCCAGGAAACCTATTGGCTACCTCTCCCACCATCCCAGACTGTGGGCAGGGGGGTGGGGAGGGAGTGGGCCTAGGCTTAGGACCCCCCCTCCAGAATTTCCTCCAGATGGGGCAGTGCCCAGGGAGGGGTTATGTGTCTTCCCTGTCATGAAGGGGGGAATCCCCAGTCCAGGCCCTAGGCCCCTCGGCAGGGAAGGGATCCTCGGGGAGGAGGGTCCCAGGAGCAGACCCTGCCCTCAGCCCCCACAGACACACCCCGATCTGAAAGCCATGCGTGTCCATGTATATAGGAACTATGTACAGAGCCCGGAGAAGCCCCCCTTCATCCCCCGGGGAAAAAAAAAAAAAAAACTAGACAGAAACTCATCTATATATTCTGTATCTGGAGTTCCGTTTTGAATATTAACTGTGTTATTTTTATACACTTTTTAAGCCTTAACTCGCCATTGATTTACCAGTTTAACGTTTCCTGGGGTTTTTTTTCCCATGGGGTTCTCTGCCCCAGCCCCCAACCCCTTTGTTTGACTTGCGTCGTCGGATACTCAGTATTGTAGCTTTTTGTCCGCATGTTACTACCCTGTAAATACGCTGTTATACATACTGTTAACACCCCATTTGCTTTTTTCTATGGGACCTCCAGGCCACCATATCTAGAACTAGTTACCTTATTAAAAAAGAGAAAACAGTCTGTCGGCTTCTCAGTCTGCATCTTGGTGGCAGGGAGGTGAGGGCAGGTGCCCCTCAATGCTTCAGGAAACAGGTTTGCATTCTATTTAAGAGAAGGGGTCGGGAGCAAAATAAAAATCCAGTGTGGGGGAAGACACTACATGGGGCGAGAGACCAAGAATCCCAAACCCTCTGCTCTTTGTATTTCTCTGTTGTGAAGAATAAACTGTACCTGCACCTGGGTGGCGGTGGTGTCTCGCGTGCTCCGTGCGAGGGCGGGGCTGGGGGGCACTTTTCCATTGCTCCTCTCCCCTCCCCCGCCCCCCAGACTTGGGGAAGGAGGGAAATGGCCCCTTCCCGTGGGCTGGCCTCACCCCAGCTGCTGAGCCAAGTGCTCGGTGCCTGGCACCCTATGGCCCCCTATGAAGGAGGCAGAAAACCAAGAGGGGTTTTTTTTTCGTTTCTGTTTCGTTGTTGTTGTTTTTGCCGAGGATCATGCTGTAATTAAGTGGCAGGAACACACGTCTCACCCAGGTTTGTCTCATTCTGAATGAAGCTTTTTTGGATGTATGGGGTCCAGTGGGGTTCACAGCCCCCGCTCCCAGGTGGGGGGGCGGCCACATCCCAGTACCCTGCCTATCTTCGGGGGTCCACCGCAAGTGCCCTGACTGGGACACGATTCCCATGATTGAGGGAACCAAGAAGTCCCCTTCAATCCACTTTTCCCACGTGGGTCAATGTTTTGATTGTGGAGGAGGGAGATGCAGGAATTAATGACCCCAGAGTTTATCAAGGCTGGTCCTCTGTGGGGCATTCTGAGTGAGACAGAAGTGACTCTACCAAGAGTCACCATGGAGCTCGCCTTCAGGAATTCACTCTGAGCCCTCACAGGCCTTGTGAGTCAAGACGTGGCTGCAAGTGTAGAAAGTCCAACCCAAACAAGGATTTATTGGCTTTCATAACAGGACAGTGCGGGAGTCAGGCCAGCCTCAGGGCTCACTGTTGTGTCTCCAGCTCTCTACTTTGCTTTGTTCTAAGAGCTGGTTTCACCCTCAGGCTCCTGGGGGGGGGGGGGGGTCAGCAGCTCCAGCCTCACAGGCTCCCCGCAGGGTTTCCTGCAGTCAAGCCTCTCTCTCTTCCAGAAGCCCCAGCAAATATCTGGGTCTTGCTGGTTGGGACTGGGGTAGGTCCCATCCCTGAACCAATCACCATGACCAGAATGTCTATACTTGATTGGCTTAGACCTACAGCCCATGCTCTAGGCCTGGAGCATCAGGTGAAACCCCAATCTGTAGTACATCTCCCCAAAAGGAAACCAGATGTGTTGACATGAGGAGGGGTAAATGGATGTGGAGTAGCCAGGAACCTGTCTTCGGTAACCTCACGGGCCTCAAGGCGTTCTCGGAAATTGACCTCCCACAGCCTGCTGTGCTAAGGGGTGAGCTCTGGCGGCCATGTTTGCATCACTTGACCCTATCCCAGCCACAACCGAGTGGCCAGCAGTGGACATTTGACTCAGCCGTTGAAGTCCTAGACCGATGGTAGCGATGGTGCCAGCGGGATGCTTTGGCTGTCCTGGTTCATGAGTGGGTTGTGCACACCACACGCACGTGGCCGACTCCACATTTGGTGGATGTGGTGGTGTTGAATCGGCCATGGTGGGGTTTCTACAACAGAAACTGGCAAAGGCTACAAATCTGGGCTTTCTTTTTCCTGGAGGAGCCAGTTGCTAAACATTTGCCAGCACACCATTGGCTGACTCTCCAATCAGCTTTTCTGGTCCGTGAATTAGGAAGAGGTCCAGTTCAGGAGCCCGGAAGAGCCCGTGGCCCAGGGGTAGGGACGTCTGTTGGGCCACACACAAGCAGGACAGAAGCAGAGGCGGACAGAGAAGACCTGGATGGAGCCTGCGTCAGACTCGGTTCCTGACTTTGGATCTCCATCTTCCGGGCAGGTTTGATTTCCTGCTTGTTCTCACATCAGTGAATTTAAGTTGCTGGTGGCACGACATCGGGCAAGTCACTTAACCTCTCTGTGCCTGATTTTCTCATACGTAAAATGGGGGGAATGACAGCAACCAACATACAGGGTGGATGTGGGGATTAAGTGAATCAACGTATGTCCAATGCTTCAAACTTTGCCCAGGGCATACTAAGTACCAGTAAGTGTAATTGTTATTATTTGACATGGCCCCGGTGGATCTGAATCCCTTATGACCAGTGAACTCTGGCTAGACAGCTGCTGGTGTTTGGGGATTTCCGGGGATGACATCTGAGCTGGCCTGGCAGGGTGGGGCAGCAGGGGCAGGTGAAGATTTTGCAGGTAGAAGCGGCACTCCGAGGACTGGGAGGACTGGCAGCTTTTCACCTGCTCACCTGGAAGCTCTCAGGAGCTTCCACTGTCTCTGAGGGCCCCGGCCTGGGTGCTGAGGACAGTGCTGACTGACAGTGACACCGATGGAAGTGGCCTCTGAAGAAGCTTATCCGCCCTTGTTATTCCTGCTTCTGCCCCAAGTCCCTCTAATGTCCCCCCCCCATGGGCCTCTGGGTAAGACAAAGGAGCGAGACACTCCCAAGAGGTTGTCTGTTCCACACTGCATCTTCCTTGACTCTTCCCTGTCCTCAGGAAGGTCTCTACCCACGGTGCGAAGCTGTCCCAGTCCAGCACCTGGAAACCCCTGACCCAGCCGTCATTTAAAACAGGAAATGGCTGTTCTTTTGGCCAAGCCTTTGACTCCACGAACTTGGTGGAGAAGGGGCAGGCAAGGACGGGGAGAAGGCAAGTTACATTTTCTGCAGCATCACGACAACCTCCGCAGGGAGGGTGATGGGCACCCCCGCTTTACAAATCTGAGGAAACCGAGGCTCAGCAAGGTGAGGAACTTGTCCACAGTCACGCGCAGAGTTAGAAGAGAAGCAGATCTTACTGGCTGGTGCTCAGGCCTCTCATGGCCACGGGGTGTGTGTGAAGGTGGGTGTGGGTGGCCCTCGGGGAATGCTGCAGGGTAAGGGAGAGGAAGGAATGTGCCAGCTCAGAGCCATCAAGCAATAACCTGTTCTAAGGTACCGCTGGCCTGTGCTTATCTAAACCAGAGTCCAAAAGGCCTTCTGGGTTTTGCTAATCCAGTTTGGGTGGGAGGCAGTGGGGAGCTTTGAACTGCGTTTGAGAGGGGCGAGATCTCTTATGTCACATCATCAATAAGTGGAACCCGCTTGTAAAAATGATCAGATTGTGAAAACCATCAGGACGGATTTACGCTGGAACTGCTGTCCTTCCTGGGAACCGTGGAGGCTCATAAAAACGCAAGGTCTGTGAGAACACTGTATACTGGATTCGGGAGACCTGGAGTGAAATCCCACCCTCCCAGGGCCTCAGTTTCCCCAAGTGTCAGAGGACAGCGCAGGGGCTTCCAAGCTGCCACCTTCCCCGTCTCCTTGGCCCCGTAACCACCTTTCCTGCAGGGCCTGATGGTTTCACCTGCTGTTCAGAGCCTGTGTTTCCCACTCCCCCCGCAGCCCCCCACCCGGGGATGAAAAGTCTAGATAGCAGCCACGAGTAAGGAAACTTACCAGGCCCAGACTATGGGCCCCGCATCAAGGAAATGTCCTTTTTGTGGACACTGTCCAGGAGAGAGGGCCATAAGGATACCTTTGGAATAATTTTATTATAATATTACTTAAATACGTACAAAGTTGCTTGAGGGTGGGGGGAGCAAAGCCAAGGACTCAGATGTTCCTTCTGTGGCAGCAGCTTTCTCCTGTTCACCCAGAAGCTACTCTCTTTGGAGTGAGAGCCAGTCCTGCCTCTCCAGCTGCCGCCCAGACAGACTCACAGCTTCTCTGTGCCTTAGGCACTTACGTTCCCTTTTTGTGCTTCAGTCTCCTTATCAAAAAGGGGGTTGGGGGCTGGCGTTGGGGGGGGGGGCGGGGCGGGAAGGGCTAAAACAGCTCTGCAGGAGGCATCAGCCGAATCCAGTAAGGTCAGAGGTGAAGGGCAGCTTGCGAGGCGCTACTGTCGCGGTGCTTTGTCGGTGGCTGTTGAAAGTGGAGGAAAGGGACCTTTCCCTCCTGTAGAACAGCTAGCTCCCCAAAGCCCAGGGCCTCCTCCTCCCACCGCTACGATCCCACGGCCAGGCGGGCAGGGCTGTTTCGATCCAAGCTCTCGCTGCCCTCTGGGGCGCCCCGACGGCTTCAGGGGCCCCCTTCCCGGGCCGGCGGGGGCTCGGGGACTAGTCGCGCAGCAGGGCGTACTCCTTGGGCGCCCAGAGCAGGCGCGGCCGCCGGATCTCCGCCCTCGAGCCGATGTCGGGGCTCCAGCAGAACTCGGGCGACAGCACCTTGGCGGGCTTGTGCAGCCAGAAGAACTTGTTGAGGTGGCTCTCGTCGTGCCAGCGCGCCTCCAGGCCGAGCTCGCGGTCCCGCCGCTGGCCCTGTGCGCAGTGCGCCGTCAGCCCGCGCAGCGCCGCCACGCTGCCCCCGAACACGGCCGCGTGGTAGTAGAAGTCGCCCTCGCCCGGCGCCAGCGCGGCGGCCGAGCGCGCGTCGCGCTCGTAGGGCAGCAGCCACCGCGGCCAGCGGTAGTGCCAGGAGTGCAGCTGCGCCACCGACTCGGCCAGCGCCTCGGGCCCGAAGGCGCCGTGGAAGTACTGGTCCACGTCCATGCAGAACACGAAGCGCGCCTCGCGGCCCAGCCGCGCGCCCAGCGCCTCGTGCAGCGTGTGCATGCGCTGCATGGACACGTCCTGCCAGCGCCGCTCGCGGGCCACGCGCTCCACGCGCAGGAGGCGGCCCGGGGCCAGCGCCACGCGCGGCACGGCGTCCGGGCGCTCGGTGAACACGTAGTACACCACGCGCTGGCCCACCATGAAGTGCTGCTCGGCCGTCTCCAGGAAGCGCGCCAGGTACTTCTCCAGGTACCTGCCGGGCGGGGTGGGGCGGGGCGGGGCGGGTCAGCCCGAGCGCGGCGCCTTCCTCGGCCCCGGCCGCGCTCGGGCTCGGGCTCCCGGCTCCCTGCAGCCACGGGCTCCGGGGCTCCGCAACCCTCCAGCCGCAGCAGCTTTCGAGGCGGGCGCAGAGGCTTGCAGATCGCTCGCCTTCGCAGCCCTGGGTTCCCTGCCTTGACCGTGGGCTCCCACTGCCCGCCTGGATCAACAGGGTCCCGCGGCAGAGGGGCCGTGCTGGCCCTGGGACGGCCGGCAGCGTTAGCCTTTGCCTCGTTAGGGCTCTGAGCCTTCGAAGCTTAA